GGCTGCCCGATCCGCGAGCGCCTTTAAAGAAACAGGAAGCATTTTTCAAAACAGCTGGGCTGCCTGCCGCCTCCTTTGTCCGCGTGCTCTCTACCTCCCCCTCGCCCCCATCCCTTCGCCCCGAACCTGCCTCCTCCCGCTCTCCCTCCCCGCCCCCTACTCGAGTCGGGGGCGCTTCTCTTTTCCCAGAGGACACTGTGCGCCCTGCACAACCGCCCGGAGCACGTGGCTTCTGGGCCCTTCGGTCCCTCTCCAAATCACAGCGGGGCCTTCTCTCCCTGGCCTTGCTGGCCTCTCAGTGACGCCGCGAGGATCGTCCCCACCGAGAACTACCTTCCCGTCTGCCCCTCTGCTCCAGCTCGCCAAGCCCGAGAAAAAACCAGAGCGGCCACTTCTCCTGGGGAGGGGGGGGAGGCTCGGGGGGGAAAGGGGAAGATTCCGAGTTGCCCGGCGACCCTCATCCCATAGCGGTGCATCCCGTTCCACGGACTTGCTGGCAGAGAAGCCAGGAGTAGAAGAGGGTTTAGGCGCTGGGGAAACTGAGGCTCCAAAGCAGATGTGCTTTCCCAAAGTCGCAGAGTCCAAGAGGCAGAGGAGCCTGGAAGTTTCGGATTTAGACAGACCTGTGCGCGCCCTGCTGAGCCCGGGTTTGCTCATCTGTGACATGAGAAATCTCGGAAAGACCATGGCCTAAGACGCAGCTGTTGTGTGGAGTCAAGGTGCCTGGCACACAGAAGGTGCTAGCCCAGCGGGAGCCGTGGTTATTATCAGAACAGCTCCAAGGGGCAGATTTCCTGGCAGACCCCAGCTCTGCCACTTCAAGCGTGAACTTGGCAAAGTCACTTAACCTCTCTGTGCCTCCTATCTTGCCTGCAAAATGGTAGTGATCATGTATGCCTCAAGCCCAGAGTGATGCCTGGCTAGTGCTTTTAGTAGGGGTCAGTGTCCCAGATTCTCAGACCTCAGGGCCATCCCCCTGGTGGTCAGATGTACCCCCTGCAGAGGCCCAGTCCACCACTGTACTCCTAGGACCGGCCCCCAGGGCTTCATCCTCCCTGATCCTTTCTCTGACAGTTCCTCCCTTAGGCAAGGGAATGCTAAAAGCCCAAAAGATGGATTTGGGAGAAGGTGCCCCCTTGACCCTGGCCTGGCTCTCCCGGTGAAAATGCAAGCACTCACACACACACGGCGTGCCCTCTCTCCTCCCAGGGAGAATGCCTCCAGGTGGACAAGGCAGATGGCAGGGTGGCCTGAGTCCTGGAAGGTAGATGGGAGTTTGGGCAGAAGATTCAGGGGCAGGAGCATGGAGCTGGGGCCAGGAGCCCAAGCCAGACCTCGGCTTTTCAGCTACCGAGTCCCGGGAGCATGAACAGGACATTTCATCCCACGGGGACCCTGTTTTCTGGGAGGATGATATTCCTGTCCAGCCAGCTTCTCAGGGTAGTTGGCCAAGTAGAAAGGAATCATGAATGTGAAAGGATTTGGACGTAAAACTTCCAGAGTAGACACTCACATACACTGGGGCATGTGGTTTCAAGTTTTCGTTTCTTCCTTTTATGAGGGTGAGAGACAGAGAGAGAGAGACAAGCACTCTCAACAAGGACCCCTTGCCCAGGCCTTCCAGGATCATGGGTACATGCAGCTGGTGGGTACAGGTCTACCAGGAAACCGGCCTTCCACATGGCCCAGCTTAAGTATTGTCCTTCCGCTGTGTCGTGCAGCTATCCCCACGTAGCTTTCTGGCTATCGTAAATGCAAACCTGACTTCTTCCCCATCAACATGAACACTAACATCCTAAAGCACGTGCTCCCCAAGGCGCCCCCGTCTCTGGACACCTGCATCTTCCCGCATGTCTGTGTCCTGAAGACTGCTAACAGTGCGCCCCAGAGAGGAGCCCTCCCTCTGCTGTCTTCTTCCCTCCTAACAGGACCCGGTAGCCAGTCTTTGCTCACGGGTCTCTTACAGCTCCTCTCTACAGAGCATGCCCTTCCCTTCCTCTTCCACCTGGAAGCCCTCCTGTGGCTCTTGCTGGCCTGTCCCATGCTTCTTCTCAAGTTCTACTGCAGCTTATTCTCCACTGCAGATCCGTCAGACTGCTGAGTTTCTGAACTCTGGAATTGCCTGCTCTTTTCTTCCTCCCTGTTTGCAAGAGCTGGTGCCCAGGAAACCTTTGCTGAAGGGGCCCCTTACATTTTTCTGTCTGGAGACCCAGGACTGGACTGTAGCTGTCTGCTCCTAGTGGACAGTGGACTCCTACAGCCGGTCAGTGGAACTGATAAAGGAAAAGCCAATTTCCCCTCTCCGGAGCCACTAAAGTGCTCTGAACCTCAGTTTCCTCCTCTGTAAAATGGGGATAATAACAGGGTGTCCACAGGGCTAGTGCAAGGATTAAATAAGGCTGTGTAGACAGCGTTGAGCGTGTCCCGAAGTAGAGCGAATGGGAGCTGGGGGCAACCTGGGTTAGCACGGTTGCCCAGGCCTCCTGCCTTGGGGTGTACGAGGAGACTGGCGGGGCTGAATACCGTCCCTGAAGAGGCCAGGCCAGGATCAGGAAAATCACCTCTTGGCTGAGTAGTGAGGGCTCCACTCGTGCTCATCCTGAACCTGTCACCAATGTCCCCAAAACAGAGCGATTCCACAAGGCAGGGGGACAAAGGTGGAGCAGCTGCAGGCCCCCCCAGACAGACTCCTCGCCCCTCAGCATGCTCCCTCCTGATGCTGGTCAAATGCTGGGGCCGAGATGGGCAGAGGCAAGCGTGGGGCATGTTCAGCTGGGCACTGCCCAGCTGTGTGGGGAAGCGGCCCCCTCACCTCTCTGAGCCTCCCATATTATTGGGCAATGCCCTTTGATCATGAGATGAACAGTGTGAGGGAGCAGGAGCGAAGCTGATGTAAAGGGGCCCTGCACTGCCATCCTCATCCTGCCAGCTCTCAG